TTGAATGAATTAGGATTTGTTCGAATTGAGATAGAGTCTGATAACTGTCCCCATTTCATAAATTATGTTAACTGCTTTGTCAATTTCAACTAAAGATTCCATCATCGCTATAACACGGATGAAGCGATAGAGTAAATAAAGAGTTTATTGATTTTATTATGTCATTTACCAAGAATAAAAATAAGGGATCCATGGGGTCTACCTGTTGAATGCTCTCAACTAAGCGGAAAAATGGGAGCAAGTGGAATATAGGTGTTGCTGAAAAGAGTGTTGTGTGCTTTGGAAAAGTCGATTTTCAATAAAGTGCGTTTGTTGGGTTATTTTCAAGATGAAATCTTGTTAAATGTACTGAAGCTTCACACCCACCGCGTATGCCTACACCCAATTAATAAGGGCTGAGGATGTGTGATGCTTCATGTTTGATTCTTAAAATTAATTTTGCTACAAATATGTGATAGGTTGAACCAATGGCGATGGTCCAGATGTCCTTATTAGGTTTTTGAGTGAGATCAGTCTGGTACCGAAGAGTAAGGGGGGTTATAAAACTGGGTATATCTTCATTTAAGATTTTGTTGCATAAGTTTCTAATTTTAGTAAGAATTGAAAAATGTGTACATATCAAGGGAGTGGTAAATAAAATTATGAATATTTAATAGGCATAATTTATAGTTTTATTTTAAGAAAAAAAATATTACCTATATTTCCTTCACTATCAACTAAAGAGTAAATTTATAAATAGAAAAGGCATAACAATATCTTTAATCCCCCCCCCCTCCACCAGCAATTTTTAAAAATAAATCTTATTAAACTTCATTTTCTCTATACATATTTAAAATATTACCTTCTTTTTTCACATAAACCATAATCAATTTAGAAGAAATTAGTATAACTACATTTAGTGTTGCTAAACATCTCACTTTGAGCCGATTTTTAAAAACGGCTAACTCAATATTTGAATAGGCAAAATATTATGCAAGCCATATGATTTTGCTCATAGATGGCACAAGGGGTTAAACATCTATTAACGAAATCTCGAGGCTTAGATAATATTTTTCTGGCTAAAATATTGAGTTAGCCGTTTTTAAAAATCGGCTCAAATCGAGACGTTTAACAACACTAACTATATTATACCAATATAATCTCAAATTAACATAGATATCGGAGAAATAAATACTATATAAATAAATATATTTTGCTAATAACAACAAATATATAGTTATTTAAAAAGCATGCCCACTCGGTTATATCGAGAGTCAATTTGTAATAATATCCTTATAACAAACATAGTAAAGATAAGACTATATTCTGATGGATTCAAACAATAGATAAATTAGGAAACAAATCAATTTTTTTTTATTTGATGTGTATATAATACACAAGTCTATAATAACAAGTTAGGAAGAAAAAACATATAAATTTCAATATATAATGAATAAAGTGTATATGATAATTAATAAGTTTTTTTTAAAATGAAAGATTTATTTGCTAAATGAGAGGTATGGAAAGAAGTCATTTTTTGCACGAGATAAAGAATCTCGAAAATATCTAGATTCTCTTTCCTAATTCTTTGAAGGAAGAGCGAAATTATGAATGCCAAATATGGTTAACGTGATATGGGAAGAAATATGTGATTGATAGGCATAGAAAAAATTTTGATTGTATAACATCAGCTAAAAACATCGTGATTTAGCTTGGGTAAGGCTTTTTAAAAAAGCAATACCTTGAAAATATTCAGATCCTGGAGTTTAATTACCATTTATAATAAACTTCATGACATCTTAAATTTATTTTAGTGCCTCAGAGTACATTGGAATAAGGTAAAACGGGCTTTGGCCTTTACATTGTTTGCAATAAAGAAACTGATTTCAAACAACTTCGATCTACGTTTACCATAAAAGCAAGTAATCAAGAATAAAAGGCATACCAGTTGTCTTTATAATCCAAGCTGCTGATTAATTTGCTAGAAATCATAGAAGTTTTATCGAAAAATTATTTACTTAAATTAGTGTTACATTTCATTATTAAATTATTGTTTGTTTCGTTTTAAAAAAAATTGACTCTTTAAAGATTTATCAGGTTACATTTTAACAAAAATAAATTTTATAATTTAGTATTCGATTGATATTGTTAGCCAGCTCTGATAGTAGTTACCTATTGATATAATCAAAATGTATTTTGTGTTATCCAAAAAACAAAATCAATTTTTCATTATATTATTCACAAAATCAAAATTGTAATATAAATATTTTACCATAAGAAATTACACATCTCTTCCTTTTTCTAGGGGGAGTGTAATCATAATCTGATTCATCTAAATATTGTTTTTTTTAAGAAATAGTATTTATATGTTATAAAATTTTAAAAATGTTTGGTTCATGGAAACCAATAAAAAAATAATAATAATTGATAATATATTTAATGGGACACACCAATCCAATCAAATTCTCTCGCTACATTCTAAAGTCTCCAAGATGTTAGCTAATCTTATGAACTTCCTTACTAGTACTCTTAATTTAATATTGTCGTCTCAAAATGGTTGAATCTACCGGGATCAAATGTTACATAATTTTTCCACAATAAAAAGGTTAATGAGGGGGATTAAATACCCTCAAGGTGCTCAAAATGTTTCGATTAATTCATATAGTAACAATTGCATTTTTAAATAATAATTACCATAACATATCGTGGCTATAATTAGACATTGGTTAAATTAAAAAATATTCACAATTAATATTTTGTGTAATAAAGTATATGAATAAAAGTACACTTTAAATCAAATATATATTTCAATTAATATATATATATATAGTAAAATATGTTATATATAATAACTCAATATGGTTTTTTAATTTTGTTATTCATCTATTAATTATATTCCTTCAAATCTATAGGCCTAGCTAAGGATTCTAGGGGAAATTTTGGTGTAAAATTTTAATTAAAATCATTATTTAAAAAATTATAAGGAGAGACTATAGCTGAGTAAATTAATGCTTAAAATAATATATTTTAAAAAGTATTTATTTGTGAAGACGTGGTTTTTCCAGTATGAAAATGGATAAAAATAAATATAGATATTATTGGCGTTATTGTTACTTCTCCTGTATTGAGCTGCATAAAATAAAATTTATAAATGCGACCTGCTATATTTAAAAATCTGGTGCCCAAAACCACTTGGTTAATTTCATAAATGATCCACTATATAAAAATGAGACTTATTACATTTATTTAAAATATTTGGTCGTTGTTTGGTAAAAACTGTCAAACAAAATTGTTATAGGATGCTCAACGCTATATATCATTTCCCGCATCTATGATGGTAATATTAAATTTTATTTGTTTTTAAATCTTATCAACTATATATGCTATTATTTTTTTTAAAAAATGCCTTTTCCTTTAGAGTAAAATGAAATTTTATTATTCCCATCATCTCATTATAATCCTCAATTGTATAATTTTATTATAATAATAAATAAGTAGATTTTAATCTATATTGATATCTCAATTTTAAATAATTTACGAAGTCATACCTTAAAAAAAATCTGATTTGACCGGAAATATATATAACTTAATTTTTCTGAAACATCTTAAAATATTAACCTGTACCTTTTCTACTCAATATACAAAGGTTCATGGCATTTGAAATTCATTTGATAGGTGTACTATATACCTATATGTGTTAATATTTCCGACCAAAATTAGGTTCTTAAGATCCCATTTTAAGAAAATTTAAAGATTCTATTCTCACATAAGGATTCCAAATAAGTGTCTCCTTCAGAAAAATTTTCCAGACACATTAAGTTTTAACAAAATTTAATTTATAATTTACGATTAAAAAAATAAATATGACACTATTTCGTTTAGATTTTTTAGGAGGGAGGTGGATGGGGAGTGAAAATTATTGATATTTATCATTAAATTAAAAGATAGTATATTACCTTCCGTAAATCCGAGAATGATTAATAATATAGGGAGTAACAAACAATAATTACGTAACATTATTATATTTCAATTATTTACAATATAAAATAAATTAATCTTTTTAAAAAAATATCAAATTGTTATCAAAAAATATATTTGTAAAATATTTTATAAATAAGTGAAATAGAAATGTTAAATATTATTTATAGACATTTTACTGGGAGGGAGGGATGGTATATTTCTATTTTTGTGAAACATATTAGATTCATTAAAAATTGCAATCGTTCGCTAAATATTTCTTTATTGTACTTTATTTTCTCTAAAATAATTTTTTTAATTTTGGGGTTAGAACTTCCAAAAGTGAGAAACCTTTCAATTAGGCAATAAATTTCTCCACCCTTTATCCAAAAGCAAAAATTTTTAACTATTATGTTTTAAAAAAGCCTTCGTTATTTAAGTAATCACTGATTTTATGGAGTTAAACAAAATGATCTAAAAAATCTTTTCAAATTTTCTCTAAAAAAACACCTTATTTTGCATTAGAATTACAATTATTTAATTACACTAGGCATGTTTAAAATTTTTCATTTGAATGGCGTCAATTTTAGGCTGGTTTTCCGCCATTTTGGGTTTGCACTTATTTTTTTATAAAAATGCTTTTTATCCTAAAGTTTAAATATCAAAATCCTTTATTTTCAATTTTCAAATAATAAATAATATAAAGTATTAAAAAAAACGAAAATATAATATTTTATGTTTTAATATATTTAAAAATGTTTGAAAAATATATAATAATACTATAAAAAAAAAAGAAGGGAGATGGTGTGACGCAGGGAAACAAAAATGAAAAAGGGACGTAAGTGTTGTCTAGGATAGCTCTTTGGCTAGAAGACTACCATTGAAACTGATATAATTAGCTTTGAGAATCGCTATGGATAATCGTTGACGGAGAAAAAAACCCTCTCGAGGTTCTTCTGAGAGTTTGCTGATTTGTGATCCTAAGTTTTTGAAAAATGCTAAGGCGAGTTTGCCGAAGGTGCCAAGAGTGGTTGTTATGATAGGGATGAAGCAATGATCATTCATTATTTCTGTGTATTTAGAAGTTTTAAGTTGTTCCTTCTGGTCAAGGATGTTGATGGCGTGGTTGGATGGGGCCAAGGGGTCAATACAGGAATAGTCCCATACCAAAAGTTGGCCTCTCCTCTATGGGATTTGAGAAATTTCGTCAGGACGTTACCGTCAGATATAAAAAGACCCTGTGATTCTAGAGTGGAATGAGCGGATTTCAGTGCATGTTGGATGATTGTATTACATTGCTTGTGTCTGATGAATCGTCCATTGCAGGAGCGACAATGTAAACTATTTCTACCCTTTGAGTCAACTGGCGAGTTGCACCCTGAGCAGATGCGAGGGTGAGTGATGGAACAATTTAGACGAATGCCGATGGCGTGGGTAAATTCATTGTTGGATAGTTGAAGCTGAAGATTGGTAGATGGGATGGCCTCAAGAAACTCATGTCCCGTACCATTGAGCAGGGAAGAGAATAAGGTGCGGTCGGTAGATTGCATGCTAGATAAGAGAGTTTCAACGCAGCGAGCAACCACTGGTGTATCCCAGTCTTTCTGTCTATGGGTTGTGGGGGGATGAGAATCAGCATTTATCCTTGTTTTCCAAATATCCATAGCCACGATTAAGGAAAGGTCTTCTTTAGAATTATGGACGGTGGTTATTGGCTTTGTCAAGAGACTACTCGATATGAAAGTAATTATTGCTAAGTCATGTGGAGATCTGATGCCGAGACCACCAAATTTGGTTGGAAGAGTTGCTTGGGCCCAATCGGTTTCGTTGAATCTGATATTTACTATTTTTTCGGTTAATTCCTTTATTCCTTTTTCGTAAGTTTGGAGAGAAATAGGATATTTAAAAATTGGTGTTGACCGAAGTGCGTAAAGAATCCTTGGTATAAAAAAGAAATTTTTTAGCAAAAAAAAAGGACTTGTGTGATGGAAGAAGTGTAAAGATGTCCTCCAGTTTAAGGAGTTTGTCAAGTGTGGAATGAAGAAAGGTGCTTATTGCCTCGTGTCCTCCTACAGGCGATCCTAGATGTGTTAATTCAACACTTGATGTGATTTTGAAATCGTGAGTGTTGGGAGCATTAGAATTTAAATGTGAGAATTCAGATTTGCTCTGGTTAAGCGAAAGTCCAATGGCTGTGCCCATTTCTTTAATTATGTTGACTGCTTTGGCAATTTCCCTACAGGGACCACTCAAGATTCCATCATCAATATACCAAGCGTGGAGCGATAGAGTACATGAAGAGTTTATTGATTTTATCATGTCATTGATTCCAAGACTAAAGAGAAGGGATCCGAGAGGGTCACCCTGTTGGATACCCTCGACAGAAAGTATCTTTTCTTTGTTGAATTGTAAGATTGTTGGTGATTGGTAGCAAGAGAAAAGAAATTTAGTGTAAGCGGGGAAATGGAAGCAAGTTGAATGTAGGAACGTGTTGCGCGAAAAAGTGTTGTAGGCGTTAGAGAAGTCAATTTTTACTGGGGATTCGTTTTTTGGGTTATTTTTAAGGTGAATTCTTGTTAAGTGCACAGCAGCTTCACACCCACCCGGTATCCCTACACCCAGTTGGTAGGGGCTTAGAATGTGTGCGGCATCGTGTTTGATTCTAGATGCGATATATTTAGCGACCAATCTACGGTAAGTTGAACCAATGGCGATGGGCCGAATGTCCTTGTTTGGTTTTTGGAGTGCGATGAGTCTGGCACCGAAGAGTAAGGGGGTAATAAAGCTGGGTACGTCTCATTTAGGATTTTGTTGACTAAGTTTGTGATTTTAGTGAGAATTGAAACCTGTGTACAGATCACAGGAGAGGTAATGTCCTGTAAAAAAATTGGTCTAATCCCATCTAGACCATGAGCCGAATCCCGATGAAAGGATAGGATTGCTTTCCTTACTTCTTCCTGTGTGAAGTCTGCTGCACAATGGGAGTAGGGTTCCGGCAATATTGGCATAAATGTTGTTGTGGGATGCTTTGATCGAAGCTTAATTAAGGTATCTAAATTGGATTCCGCCAGAGTGTCATTGGTTGAAATGAGTTTGAGGGCCCCTTTGATATTAAGACTGTCAATTTTCTTCGAAATCAATGAGGCATTTTGTTGAAGTGGGGTTATTTTTTTTTGTTTTTGGGATGTATGGAGATTTGGGACTCATGAAGATGAGTGTGGATGTTTAAACAGGCATCTTTTATTTGTTGAGTTAAGGATTATTGGAGTGATATGTGAGGTATTTTGAAAGTATTGTACCTGAAGTTTAGAAATTTTAACCATTCTTCTTCTTTGTTAAAATTTTGCAAAAGAGAAGATATGCAGTTGCTGAGAGATTTAGCTACTTGTATTCTGACTCCTTTGTGTATTCTCGTTATGATACTTGGTTTTGTGGAGTTAAGAAAAATATCTGAGAATGAGGCACCAATTGCTTGGTTTAAGGGGGATCTATGAGAGGGAGGGGAAGCGAGTAAGTGATCTGAGAAAGAGGCGTGTGTTTTGAATGCGGACACCTGTTAGAGATTGGTCCATGAACAAAAAATTCTCAATCATTTGTTAAATGTATTGGTTTCAGGCAGGATGGGCAGATTTTGCGTTCATGGGGAATGGCCATAGGTATAAAAAAAATTGCTGCCAATAATAAATCAAAAGCGCCTGTGAGAGGTCTGTTGATTGATGAGAAAAAATAGCGAATTAATGATGGAATATGTGTGTCAGAAAAATTGAGCAACGAGCGAGAAAGATGCTCACTATGCGAGGTTTCAAATAAAAAAAGGATTAATTATTGAAATAATATATTTAGAAAAACAATTAATTTTTTTTTAAAGTTCAAGTTTTTAGTTCTCCATTATTTTAAATTATTCGTTATTTTAAAAAGTTATTAACTTTTACAAGTTTTTCTTTCAAATTCTTCTTTATAGCGCTATATTTTATATATTTTTGGGGGAGGAGGGGGTTCAATATATGTAGGGTGTGAGGGGATTTTTACTAGCTTAAAAAGATATTTACGAGAAGTGGTAAGTTTGCGATGAGTTGGTTATACGCCTCTATAGTATTACATACATTGATTTAGTAAAAACTATATAAAGAGCAGATGTTTAAGAACTTAAAGAAAATAGTTAAATACTGTTAAGAAATTTCATAAATTTAGTAATTCTTGAGTTCAAAAGATAGCTTTATGAATTGTTGGTATTTTCATATCTAGACTTGTACCAATAGATTCTAGAATCAGAAAAAGAATTTTATAAAATATTATAAGAATTTAGAGATTTTTTCATCCTATTTTAAAAACTACCCCCATCCCCATCTCCTCTACGAAAGGTAAACTATTGGCTTTACTCCTATCATCACCCTCATTTAAGAAATAACCTCCTTATATCTCCTGGAAAACTTTCATAATCATCCCTTAATCATCTATTTATAATGACTTCTCCTTATATTAACTACTTCTTTAAAACCTACTTATTATAAAAATTATATCTATTTGTTAAAATATATTTCTTAAATATTATATAAAATGGAAGAATATTATTATCTTAAAATGTTTATTTTTTAATGAGAGAGGGGGAGGGATAATCTATAATACAAAATATTAAATTAATTTTTAATATAATAATTTAATGAAAAATGTTTCAAGAATATTATATTTTAAGATTGTGTGAGTATAAATTATATTATAAAATCAGAAGCCCCTTTAATTAAAGATTTAACATGGATAAAATTTCTTTTAGATCTGTCATTTATAGCCATGTTTCAGATAAAATATACTCAAATTAAATATTTTAATTTGAGACCTTTTTTATAGTAATATACTAGCTTATAAGAAAAATTGGATTAAATTAAATTTCGTAAAAGAAATGTCTCCATAATTATTACACTGAGTATGTTTTAAAAATAGCATTCAGATCATTAATTCTTTAAATTAAAATCCTTTGGCAGATAAAACTATTTAAAAGGATCATGTTTATCCTAATATTTATTAAATAATTATCAACATTTTTAATAAATATCATATTATCCATAAATTCACTTCTTTATATGATAATACAATATGAATTTTTCCAATTATTTTATACTATTATAACTATAACTCATTATATTTTAAATATGACAATTAACAGATATAATAATATATATAAAAAGCTGACCAGAAATTAAGTATTTTGAAAAAACTGGGGCAAATTGTCATTTTTTTATTTTAAAACATAAGCAGGGAATCGGGGCGGGTGGGGGATTTTTTCCCATTGTGAATTTACTCCTTTATGAAAATATCATTTTTAGCTAAGAAAAAATGGGAGATTGGTAACAAATTATTAGTTTGCATTGCAAAGACAGCAGTTGATCTTGGTCAAAGTTATTTTCTGACCAAATGAGATTAAGTCTTTTTCACGTGCCTATCAAGGTAATGAAAAATGATCTTAGATAGCTATATGATTAAGATAAGCTACTCCTGATCTTTATAAGGCAAAAACAACCTTCTCAGTTATCTTCAACTGAGATTCTGGTATAATTTAAAATGTTAAATCTGCTTTGATTTCTTTGATACAATGGTGCTCTCATTGTATCTTTAAAGTAGAAACATTTTAATTTATGAGCTTAAAAAATAATTGAAGATTCCAAGTTTTCTGTATCTTTTATGACTTCTACCTTCATTCGAAATAAAGCAATAAGACTAGAAATTTATATTAAAATATTCCTAATTTAAAGCTACCAGAAGTGCTAAAAACTCAAATAATTTTAACAAGGAGGATGTATAGTGATGAATACAATGAATAAAGCTATAATATTATAATCATCTCTATATTTTTAAAACATTTCATCCTACAATTGATCAAATTATAAATAGTTTAATAATAATTAATTTATATAAAAGTTTATAAACGAATATGCAATATTTATAATTTTTACTATTCTCTAAATTTTTTATTTTAATGAAATAAATATTTAAGGTATTTGGTGAATTCAATGTTTCATTACTCAAAATTTTTAAGAATTTCATATTTTTTTAAACTTAACAAATATTTTTTTCCTCCTTTTATCGATTACATAAATATAACAAGATAATTTCATATACAAGAACCATGGCTTTTTTAAAAGATCATGAGTTTCACGTGTGTTGTTATAATAGCGTGAAAATGGAGAAAAATGCCACAACTTATAGAATAAGATGCTCAACATGTTCAAGCAGCTATATGGAAGAGTTTAATATATTATTTTTTAGATTTTATTTTATTAATTAAACACTATTTTTGAAAATATTAATCTTCCTTGATACCGCCATCCTATCTAAGTTTTATCTCTTCCATCAAAAAACTTCCATGCCTCATTATGCTTTTTTCTTCGAAAGTGTGTATTAGCCATTTTAAACACGGATTATTTTGAATAAAAACAATCGACCTAATTTTAAAGGAACTTTAGAAGCAACTAGTTTGTCTCTTAGAACTAACATAATTTTAAAAAAATCTAAAAATAAAGAAGCTTATGACACATAAAGATAATAGGTACCCCTGGTGTTTTTTATAATTCCTAAATTTTTATTCTTTTAAATTTTATATTAATAAAAATCTAAAAAAATTTAATTTACAAGGTCATTTACTATTGATTTATTATTAGACCTTACTAAAACAAAGTTATTTTTAAAATAACGAATCTTTCAATAAATCAGTTTCATGCCTTGCCGATTTATTACAATTCATGTAAATGACAGTGTTATCAAACTATATATTATCAAAATATAATAAGGAAAAAAATTGATATAATTTCCAAAATAAAAAACAAATCATTACATATGGATATAATTTGTAAATTTTCTAAAATGACCCAATAAAATAAAGTAATACCCAAATATAATATATAATTTTTTTAAATCACATGATTAAATAGAGTTTGATTTAATCCAATTATATTAAAAATACCAATAAAATATAAATTTTAGAATCAGATTGATTTAGGCTCTTCAGCTACTGGTTCGCTCTGCCTTGGGTGACTACGGCTAACTGTTAATAAAAATATATTTGAGATAACGAATATAATTATTTTGAATAAATTCTAAAATTTATGATCAAGTTATCAATAATGGATCCATTTATGAAAATTAACTATTCAAGAAGTCTATTATATACTTAGACATTTGCCAGTTTGCCTCAAATATTTTTATCGACTCATATCGTAACTATTAGTTTTGTTAAATGGCTCGATTTGAGCCAATCTAAAAACGGCTAACTCTGTTATTTACCCAGAAAAATTTTGTATAAGTTTCGAGATCTTGCTAATAGATGTCCAAACTTTGCCATCTATGAGCAACTTCAGGCTGGTGTAATATTTTTCTGGATAAAATATTGAGTTAGCCGTTTTTAAAAATTGGGTCAAATTGAGCTGTTTAATTGCACTTTATGGTGGTCCAAATATTAACGATATCATACTAGCTAATTATATCCAAATTAAATATTAATATTGATTTTAACTGACCATTAATCCTTTAAGTTTCCTTCCTTATAAAATTAATATGATGCAACACGATATTTAGTTATTTTTTTATTGGTTCATATATAGTAATATAAGACACTAAAAAGTATTTTTAATTTAAAATGGCGGCTCTCCTTGGTGGTTTTAAATTATTCATTGACACCCTATGAAAACTTTCGAAACAGTTTCTATTTTTTTTAGACCTACTGATATATTGCATGATTTGCACGAACACCTTGTTCTTCTGGGATTTAACTTTGTACTACAGAGGGACACCTTCGGGAGATTCCTGACTGAAAATGGTGAGCTGAGTTTTTTAGTATAATTTCTGGATGGATATAAGGCTTATTATTTTTTGCATTGATTATAACTATTATTAATCTGAATATTATCATCCCTATCAACATTTTTTCAGGGTACCACTTCGCTAGCATTTATTTGTCTTAGGAATTCTTTCAATGAGTTTATTGTATGTAAAAATATTGTATGAATGAATTGATAATAGCCGCAACTATCAGCCAAAAGAATATTGGCAGCTACTATTTCGCCACTTCGGCTTATATAAAGATTTTAATGGTAAATTATCAACAGATCCCATAAATTTATTATATATCTTTATCATCTTTAAAAGTTTTACGTCAAATACTTCCCCTTTTTTTATTTTTTCTCTTCACAGTATCCACTGATCTCGGATCAATATGATTGAACATTATAAATACGTCCCGATTATCTCGCCATTTAATTATACTTATCGTATTTATGTTACTTCTCAAACTCACACATATTGTTAATTTTGTTTCCATATTCTTTATGGGTAG